ACTTCTTCCATAGCGACGTATACATTTCCATCAAAACGTGCAAAACTCCTAGATTTCACCCGCTAATGATATCAATATTGCTTTAGATTGCTTTACCGATCGATGATTCATAAACTCTCTAATTAGATTGCAAGTATTTGTTAACTTAGCCAAGCCACAATTCTGACACATGAAAAACATGCGGCGAATTGACGTTTGATAAGCTGGGACGCGGTTAGCTTTCCAGCTGATCTGGATTCGGGAGCATGGATTTTGAAAATAGTAGGAACGAAGCTCACGTTTGGACAACTGCCTCCAAGGAGAAAGAAGTCTATTTGCAGTCTTAATCTGAGTTTATTCTCAGATTTCAATTTCTTGTCTTTAACAGACATTGAGCTAGGAGAGGGGAGTGTCATCGAACCTCGAGCTGAAATGTTTGATAGCATCTCACCGCATTACATGGCTGTTATATGCATATGTGGTATTTTTTAATTCAATGATATCGTTAAAATATTCAGTGTAAAATATTCAAATATTCATGGTTGTCGCAAATTTTCCCGGTAATGTTTGCGCGTTTCTCGTTTATACTTTTACTCTCTTCAACCCTCTGCAATATTTACACACAAGAATAGAATCGATAATATTTATTCACTTGAAATGAACTAGCATTTGTGGAAGAGAGACCAACACTTTACATCAAATTAGATCATGAATCGTTATGAATCTGTATACTAGCTAAGAATAATAATTTTCCTGTGCAGAGGAGCAGGGACAACAATCATTACGCGCACGCGCAAGAAGAGTTCTGCCCTCGCGCACAAGTTTCGGATTCGGGCACGAAGACTGCGACTAGCGCGCGCGCGCGTCACGGTTTCGGGCAGGAAGACTGCGACTAGCGCGCGCGCGCGCGCGCGCGCGCGCGCGCGCGTCACGGTTTCGGGCAGTGGTGAGTGCCTTAATTAATTAAAATAAAATTTGAAACTTTCTAGAGGTTCCCGTCTACTGGCTATATTTGATTGGATATGCACACGACGCGGCCACACGCGTGGACGCCGGGAGGTTTCAGAATTCAACATCGCACTATTGCACTGCAGAAGGTCAGGTGGCTGACCTTACCTTTTAATTTGTGCTGTTGCGGCGCATAAAATGCTGATTCTGGCTCAGTTTGATAAGACGAAGCCATTGGTTTAAAAATAAAATTTTGCAAGAGGCATGAAATATGCACCAGCGTACAGTCGCAGGAAATTAATACAATTACTAGAAGACGGGTGGTAATTAAATGTCACGTTTTTCACTTAAAAACAATGATGTTTAGTACAGAAATTAGTTTTCTGACAAAATGAAATGATGCATTTTTGTATTTTTTTAATTTTCTATTTATTTCGTGTCATTTTTACCTTTTCTCGTCACTTTTTATGCTTTTCCCCTAAATTTCATAGATTTTAATATTTTAATGGAACTTAAAACAATGTGTACGAGATGCAACAAATTTTCTCCGCAGAACGAATATAAGCACTCTCGATTACATTAGTAACGAACAGTTTCCAGTATCCAGATTATCCAGTTTGTTGTTTATCCAAACGGGTTTTGATCACATGTTCTATATAACTTTTCTTTTCTTTTACGGAATTTTAACATCTTAAGAGGATTGTGAATCATTTCGGGCAATGTTTTAGATCAAAATCTGCCTCCTAATTACAGTGTGACATTTATGTAACAACTCTTTGTTTGTCGTTCGACCAGCTGTTTCCTATCCATTTTGATTTCTTAAAAATGTGGGCTTAAAGATGTAGAGTATTGAACGATATTGCATAATATGAAAGAAGAGCTTACATTCCACGGCGCAGGCTGCACGAGGGGCGTGGTTCGGGTGAGTGTTTCGGGTTTGAGATACTAGCTTTGCAACGTGGGGCTGAAATTGGGACCGCCGTTTTTTTTGCGAGACCAGGCAAACCTTATCGTGTCCGATATCACAATAAGTCGCTTAATGGTAGCACTGAAACAATAAATCTTCGTCCAAATTCAAGTTACTCGTGATGTGCTTGCATTTAGACACAAGTGCACCGTAAAGGACGTTTGTTCTCGGCGCCGTTAGAGCTCGGTGTTCTTAGTCGATCACCCATCCAGGTAGCCGCGACGTCGCGAATTTGCTTAATCTTTGAGACTTCACGTAGTTAACGAATTCAGCTAGCAACACCGGTTTCGCAGTCGCGGCCTTTCAGTAGATCTATTCCAGAATCCGCCTGGATGACTGAGGGGGAAGCCGTACAAATCCGGGCAGGATAGCCAGCACGGGATTGATCCCGGGCCTCCCGAATGCGAAATCAGCGCCACACTCGGTGCACTTTGTGGAAGTGCTCAAATGGAACGTCACATACAGCCTTTTGGCAACGTCTTTCTCCCGAAGCAGCGCCCACGAGTAGCCCGGGATGGGGATGGGGACGGGGACGAGGGGTGGATGCCGTCGTGCTAGGAGGATGGGTGTCTCGCCCAGCGGCTGAACGGCTCGCGAAGAAGGTGCCATCGGGGCATCGGAAGCCCTTGCCTTTCACTGTCACAAGACCATTCTCGGAGGTGCTGGCGAAGTCGTATTGAGACTCTTGGCGGGCTTTCTTGAAGATAAGCGTTCATAGTGCTTTGCAAAAAAACATAGGTTTCAGCATTACTGTTTCTCCTGAAAGTATTGCGAAATTACAGATCCATTTATGGCTAGTAATTGGAGTTCTCTATTACTTTATATTGTAACTGGTTAACAGGGTTCGTGTGTTTGGAAACGCTGCTTCTTTTCGGTTGAGGTGTAGAAAAAAATGCTGGTATAGCTTCAAAATTTTGATTTTGAGTGAAACCTCTTAGAGGCAGTTGTCAGCTCTGTTTGAAGACAATTTGTTCTCTATGTTGCACCGAATGCGATAATTCGATTCGTGAAAAAAGCAAATTTCACTTCACAGCTGTTCGGAATGTTAAGGGTTATAAACGTATTAAAAAGCCTCCAGACCTGAGAGATGCGCGGAATCAAGAAGGCATGGATAGCATTTGATTTTTTCACGCGATCTTTAGAAAATACAACTAAAATTAGTGAGCTTTTGTTGTGGCTCTCAATAGCGCAAAACAGAACAAAGAAGAAATGACATTTCGAAAGTGTCTTGTCCTCTCATAAAGCCGGGAAAGTTGGCTCGGTGCTACTGATGTCACTGCAGTCCCTCTGACCGAGAGGTCCTAGTTTCCAGGTCCGACAACGGCAAGATTTTCGACACTAGCTTGTCGACTTGGTCGAATTTAGCCGCTGTCTGAAGAAAAATTCTAGAGGCCGGTTGTTCTGGTCGGTAGTTTCTCCAATCAACACTAAAGAATGCTGGAGCAATACCCGAACAAACGGGCCATGGACCGCGCGCGGTCTTCTTTCTCTTCCTTGCCCTATCCTCATTCCTTACACACACACACACACACACACACACACAATTTACACTAACATGCACTACACTACCACACATGCCGGGAGACCTGCACATGGGGCGGAGCCACACTGGTGGGAGATACCTGGTTGAGGAAAACTCCACTGGCCTATGGTAGGTCAGCGCCGGATCTCGCTATACAGCAGGGGAAGACCACAGCTACCTCAAGAGGGAAACATGCATTATACTTACGGGACTAATTATTCTGCAACTTCGTTATTTAACACGCCCGGAATTAGCAACCAACCATGCAACCAATCTCAAATGGCTAGGAAATCCCAAATTTCGAATATTTCCACCTGTGCGAGTTCTCTGGGAATTTTCCATAGCATTTAAGAGGCACAGCCGTCGGACCCGTCAGGAACTTGGGAGACTCATCATACTCCAAGTGATTCTCCAAATAGAGGGCTAGTCAGCCTCAAGGGTGACTGAGGTTGCGGGCGTACACACGGCTGGGATTTCCGACAAAATCTATTCCTGTTGCGTAATAAATCAAATTTGGGGCAACGGTGCTCGTGTAATGCGAGTTGCGTGGCAGGTTAAGTCACAATAGTACCCTTATTTCCATAAAATATACTTAAGGATACGCATAGGTTTACAGTAATGCTCCCGAGAATTAACCCTATTTTTATTCTCATAACCGATACGATGGGTTAAAGGAGACCGAGAAAAAATACTTAGTGCAAAGCATGATCGAGTTTTGGAGTTTGTGGTTCATGTACCCAATTAGTGTCAAAGTTTTGATCTCAGGTTTTGGTTCAGTTTGGTCGTCTGTTAAGAACAGAATTGTAGTGAATAAATTGCATTTTCCACATTACTTCGTTTTCTTCCGCTTGCAGGGGAAACTGCGTCCCTGCAGGAGGATCTGCAATCACAAATGTGAATTTGCTAGAGAGTCGCAAAATTTAAGAGGCAGTTAAGATAAGTTCATGTTGCATATTGTAACAAAATGTCGAAGACGCGAAGATGTTTAAAAATCAGGAAGAGGAAATGATTTTTAAACAGGAAACTTGTACTATGATATAGATGCAAACGCTACATGCAAGAATGCTGATAGTAGCGTCTTCTAATTTGAGCAGGAATTTAAAAAGTGAAAGGAAAGTGTGTTTTTTTCAGGTGTTAGCTACTTATTATTGAAAATCTGAAATGCTTATATTTTTTTTTAAATTTCTTCAATTACAGAACACTAAACACCAAATAAGACAATTGTCTTAGAAACTTTTTTATTAATTCATTAGGCCAGAGACTTCGTGGGAAGACGATCAGTGTGTAATATATAGTATATATGTATATATATATAAGATAAAGAATTCACCTTCCCACAGCATGAGCTTGTAATTTCTTTTAGTTAATTTGTTGTACAGCTGAAGGTTCTAAATCAATGTATCAAAACGGCATGAATAAATAATAGCTTTCTTAAGAAAGCTGTCTTTGGTCTTGCCTTCATTTATACTAACGAATATTAAATAATTTCATAATCTAGAATTAATGTTGATTTAGTATTCCAAAATTCATTTTCCGCTTTTTCGAACATGCCTTCAATTCAACCTTCTTTTCTTTTCCTTTAAGATGTGACTCCTTTCAAAAATCTTCACAACTGGAGCCGTGCGATTACGCTGTCAAATTGGCAGGACTGGCATACCTTCGAGCGAAGAAACGCAAAGATGTATCGTTCGTTATTCACATAATCACAAGAGAAACGGAAGTCAAGAACTTTGTCGTAATGCACTTACACTGGCTGTACAAGGAACACATTCGCCAAATGACTTATCTGGTGGCATTAATAGATTCAGAAGACCAGATACAACGGAGCGAAGGCTCTTCTGGAGGGGGAAATCAAAAATGTCTTCAAGATTATGGCGTAATTTTTAAAGAAATTGTTGAAGATTTGAAGGTAAAACAGGTGAAAATCGGCGACCGTTTAATTTTAACAAAGAAAGATGATTTCAGGTATATTATTTACACGAAAACAATAATAACCGTATTAAACGCACCACGGAAAGAATATTACGACATCGATTTTCCTTTTCGGGACTTATTCAACACGAATAGTTTTAAGAATACTGGCAAACATTATTCTTCGCAAACCTGGAACTATTCTAGGGAAGTAGATGATCCTTTCTTTTCCGGTCATTTTGTCCCCAGCGTGGTACTCTTCTGCGGTCAAGCTGAGGTTACTGAGCTGGATTCCATCGTTCAGCATGCTTTCAGGATGGTGAATAAGGACCCATTTCCCAAGCCTGAAATATTTTTATTTGTATATTTTGAGACGGTAAAAGAAATGTGCCAGCAAGAGTTTGGATTGATGGATAATGCAAAACTTATAGAACAAGTAGTAGCAAATTCAATTTTAAAGGACTTCAGATTTCGTAGTATAGATTTCTGGAGTAATTATTATGAAGAACTAGAAAGTCGTCTAAACAGAATAGCTATAATGTATATAATAATTCCTGGCGTACGTCCTGATTTAAGATGTTGCAAAGTTATAAACGCCATGTACTCACTTTACGGTTTAAAGTTCGTAGTTTTGACTGAAGAACATATAGCGACCTATCCGATGTCGTGGCTTTCACTGGTATTCGCGGACTTCTGTGAGGCCTTAGTAATGAACGTAGACAATATTGCCCACCCAGAATCCTTCCTGGAGCAGATAGGAACTTCCAAACTGAAGAACATTGTAGCGGTGTCTAGTGCAGAAAACCCTCGGCTGCGACGAGCCCTCCTGTCTCTCGGTCGCACCTACAAGCAGTGGACTGACGTATGGTCGCTGGAAGACGTGGACGACCTTATCCAGGAGCTGCTGATGTTCGTGGAGATTTCCTTTCAAGGACGCGTGGTGACTTTGAGTCAGCTGGAGACGACGTGGCCTTGGGTGCGAGCGAGCGTGTCTCCTCCGATGCTAGACCGGCTGGTGACGCAGGAGACGGTGACGATCGGGGTAGAGCCGCCCCCGCACGAAATTGCAGGTGTACGAGATCGCCGAACGTTTCGCCACAAAACCATCCTGAAGCCCGAAGTGCTCCAAATGGACAGCGAAAAAGACGTAATAATGATCACAGGGGTTCCGAAGAAAACTTTCAATCAGTTTTTTAATCCTTCAAAACAGGCAGAGCAAGAAAGTGATTGGATGATTGCCGAATCTTCGTTACCAACTAGACCACGTTTCACGCGGAAAGAGGATTCTGCAACTACATCCAACAGCAAGGCCATCGCTGCGGTATATGTCTCCAAAGGAGTGGATATTGGCTACGACAAGCGATACAACGGTGAAAGAGAATTTTTGAAACCACCCGCTCCAAAAATGTACAAAAATGTTTTCGTGGTTTCGTACGCTGAGACGATGGCTTTGACCACATTTGGATCTGCTTATGTAAAATTCAAAGGTCTGCAAGACGACAATCCGGATAAAAATGTTCACTGGATCTCGTACGAGTCTGGCCACTTGGTGTGGATAAAAACACACGGATCGGAAGAAAACCTCGTGAAATACATTGATAGATTAGGAAGTGAATGTAGCGAAATGCCGGTATGTGTTCATAATGATGACAACAATCACTTCTCCGTGTGGAAGACAAAAATTATTCAAGTCGTTGGGGATTCTGGAATGGGCAAAACAACATTGCTCAAGAAAACGTACTATTCGCTTTTTAATGAACTGACGTTACACTGGGTCATATACGTAAATTTTTCCGATCAAAAGCAATGGTTGGAACAAATATCTGCTGATGAAATTACAATTTGTGAAGTTGTCGAATTCTTGTTGATGGTGGCAAAATGCGACTCGTCGAAGTTCATATCATTTAGCCGCGATTTCCTTTTCCATAGCATTGAGAAATCTGGAAAATGCGTCTTGTTTTTTGATGGTCTGGAAAGACTTGAGAAAAAGACGAAAGAAGCGGCTATTTGCCTAATGAAAAAGGTTTCTGAAACCAAAGTTGAACAAATGTGGGTGGGCACTACAGGACGTGATAGTATTCGTATCAAAGAAGTGCTAAAAGCTCCACCAATTGAATTGATGTATGTTCAAGAAAAGGACCAAATGAATTACATTCGTTTTTACTGGAATCAAGAGAACAACTTTCCTGTAACGCACCAAAACTATAACTCCCTCGTGAAATTAGCCGTTGATGTGGCTCCAAAGTTGAACGGCATATCTATGCTAAGTGTACCTTTACACCTGTGTCTCTTTGCAGAGTCCGAATTACCAGAAGACGACGAAAACGAAGCACTTTTAGATGCAGTGTTTTTTTCCTTAAGTATTGAATTACCTGATAGCTCTATTTTCATGTTGTACAGAAAATACATAAAGACACGTTTGTCTTCCCTTCAACTGAAGGGAGAACCAGCAGATAGTGACAGTGGTTTAGGAATAAGAGAGTTGGAAGATATATTCTTCTCTGAGGATTTCGTTCCAAAAGAATACCCTGCTTATAGTGATTCTGCTAACTTGAGGGTGAAGGAGCTTGAAAATATCTTGCACTCTACGGCTATCGTAATTAAACCAGCAGAAAGTGATACCACTGATGTAGGGATAAAGGAGTTGGAAGACGACATGCATTCAACGGCTATTGTTCCTAAAGAACAATCGGCAGAAACTTTAAGTATAAAGAAGTTGGAAGACAGCAGTTCCTCCACTTCCATTGTTTCCAGTTCACTTTCTGATCAAACAAAAGCGCACCAGTTGGGCGACAGCATCATCGAGAAAGCCAATGAGTTCGTGGACATCGTCGCGAGGCAAAGTAACCGCATGTTGCACGAGAGTTTCACCGATTATCTCGCAGCGAATTGCTTCGCGGTGTACCACAAAATTCTAGGGCCGAGCTATCTGAAGGAGAAGGTTCTGCCATCGGACAACGCCACTTTGCTGTACTTCTTCAACGCGGTGTTTTGCGTGGGGCTGCCTCTTCACGACATCGCCTTGAGCGGAGCGGACGTCGACGTGGCAAAGCTGGTGGACAACGGCTGCCGAGTGGACGAGCTGGACCTGGGGGGCAGGGCGGCCTTGCACCTAGCTGCGCTGTACGATCGTGTGGACATGGCGAAGGGGCTTTTGGAGGTACGTGGGAAAAGGTGGAGTCGCTGCTAACCCTAGCATTACCACAGGAGGGGTACCGGCTTCAGGGCATCCGCGTTGTCACTGTAATCTCTCTGCAAGGGTTTGAAACACGGCGATGGTAGGGGTTTCGACAATAGCTAGAGAGCTATGTCGAATTCAGTCGCTGTTTGGAGACTGCTAGTGACACTGTTCTGACCGGCAGTTTTCTGTGGTGTCTCCGACCAACATCGGTTGAATGCCGAAGCAGTACCCTAACAAACGCCGCGCGCCATCCGTCCTTCATCTCCTAGTCCTATCTTGTCACCTTACACACACACACACACACACACATACACACACACGTGTCAGGAAACCAGTCGAGATCTTTCAGCTTGTCTCGGCTGGGGCGGTGTCCCGCTGCTGGGAGATATCGTTGTTTGGGGAAAACCCCGCAAGCCGACATATCAGCCAGCGCCGAATCTTCAGCGGGAGATTTAAACACACCACACATATGGAACTAACAGCAATTGATGCTCTCAGAACCCAATCAAAACCGAAGAGAATGTGAGGGTACTGAAGCCTACCAATGATATTTTTATAGGGTTCAATTTTTTAGGAAGTTTAAAATGATACGATTTGTAATGTGCTTTCTGTTCAAAATACGATGCAATTTTTCACAAGTGGTTGGTGTGTAATAGAATAAAGTTATTAGTGTTATTACAGCGATTATTAACTCGAAACCCGAAAATTGAGAATACATTTTAGAAACATTATTTTTAATCTTAGTATTATCTAATTAAAGGATATTACTATGCCCTGAAGATTCACAATAAAAATGTGACAATTTTACAAATATTGATGTAAGAAAGTCACTTTCGTATAATTGCAGAGCCTAAAATTGACTATTTTCAAACGAATGCACTTGCTTGTCAATTTATCAATTAAGCAAAATTGTGTAACACTTAAATAGAATAGTCAAAATAAACCGTGAACTCCGCTGCCCCTCCCCACGGTAATGTACCATCCATTTGTACCCTGGTATTGCTAGTGTTCATCCGTAATAGCTATTCCAGCAAAGTCCGAGTACACGAAGAGGGGCGATAGCAAATGTAAAACGTGCAAGATTTCTTGATAATCCACCACGCGGGGTATGCAGAGAGAGGAGGGCTGTGACTACGACACGGCTTGAAAGGACGTACGTTTGCGTTAACTTTTTGCGCCAAAGCGCAGCACGAAAAAACTAGAATTATTTTGAAGGGGCAAGGTAGATGTTGACAGAATTGTAAATTGGTACCCATATATCTACCGAATTGCCGAATTGCTCCTAAATATTTCAACGGGCCGCGCTATTCAGCGCTGGTCAAGGACTGAGGACCTCGTGTATGAAGAAAACTTTCGCTAGTAAGTTACCTCCACATATAGATCTATAACGCCCTGAAAGTTCCAAACGCATGTTCTAAGAGATAAGAACGCTTATTGGAATCGGTTATTTGTTTGATAGAGTGCAATGCTGTGCGACAAGCCCCTCCAGACTGTTTGCATGATAGCTGCTAACAGACCATAGACTTTTCCCAGATTTGGAGAAAACTTTGTTTCTACTTTTAGTTGTTGCTGTGGCAGAGATCAAAACGTAATGGAGGCAAAGAAAGATGTTAAATACAAAAGTTTGGAATTCGAAACTAGTTCAATATGGGGCGTAAACCAGGTCGTATCGAGTTATCGAACCTTGAATTGGTTTCGCAAACTTTACGTAAGAATTTGTAAAAAATTTCCTGACCATTCAAAGACTGAGAAGTACTAGACAGCATTATGGGTGAGAGCCCCATCGTGAAGATTCCCTATTTCATTATGTATAAGTCAAGATACGCCTTAACATTACAAAAATATGATTTTACTGGAAATGCCTAGTTTTTAATTCAGAAAATAAATTTGATTTTCGAGTTTAGTATATCCGGTATTG